CAAGTCCCCAGCTCCAATCCAGCCCCTCTCCAGAGCTGTGACTGCTGCTCAGAAAGCCTTGGGAGATTCCCAAGGGAGCTGGGCCCTAATTATTCCGTAGAAATCTGGGTGTTTACTTTTGTTTTTTTGAGACAGGGTCTTGCTCTGTCACCTGTGCTGGAGTGCAGTGGCACAATCATAGCTCACTGCAGCCTCCATGTCGAGGGCTCAAGCAGTCCTCCCACTCCAGCCTCCTCAGTAGCTGTAATTGCAGAGCCATGCCACCACATCCAGCTAATTTTGGTATTTTTTGGTAGAGATGGGGTCTTGCCATGTTGCCCTGGCTGGTCTCAAACTTCTGGACTCAAGTGATCGTCCCACCTCAGTCTCCCAAAGTGCTGGGATTACTGGCGTGTGCCATCATGCCCAGCCACTTTATGCATACAGTGCCCACCCAGGCCAGCCCAACACATCAGGAAGACAGCATGCCAGGCTAGCCACATTACCTAGTTCCATTTTGGTCAAGAGTGCATCTGGGCCGGGAAATAGAGGTGGTGAGGGTGGCAATGGGGCTCTGCCATCCATGTTCTTGTGAGTTTATTCTGGGTCCAATGAGAACTGATTACTTTTCATTTGTTTATTTATTTAGAGATGGCGTCTCACTCTGTCACCCAGGCTGGAGTGCAGTGGCGTGATCTCAGCTCCCTGCAACCTCCGCCTCCCAGGTTCAAGCGATTCTCCTGCCTCAGCCTCCTGAATAGCTAGGATTACAGGCGGGCACCACCACGCCCGGCTAATTTTTGTATTTTTAGTAGAGACTAAAAATATTATATTGACCAGGCTAGTCCCGAACCCCTCACCTCAGATGATCCACCTGCCTCAGCCTCCCAAAGTGCTGAGATTACAGGTGTGAGCCACCTCGTCCAGCCTGAGTTAATCTGGAGGACATCTCTAGAATGTTACCACCGGGCTGTGGCTTGGATGTGGATAAGGGTGCAGGGGACAACAGAGTCAGGAGCCATCAGAATCCCACAATCTGAAACAAGCATCGGAACAAAGGAAGAAATGAAACAGAAAAAAGGTCCTTCACTCGAACCCCAAATCCACTCCACGGGCAGTGGTTGGGAAGGGCTTGGGGCTTTCCTTGACAGGAAGTGCTACGTGATTACTTAACTGATCTCTGGCTGTAGTAATAGAGGTAGACCATATAGAAAAAGGGAGGGGATGGACCAGCTCTTTGGCATTGGCCAGACCACAGTCAGCAGCAGATTCAGTTTGTGTGCTCTACTGTAGGAGACAGAAGCACAGTCCAACAAGTCTTGGGCAGGGGCTATAATTTGGGGTCCCTGGGAAGGATCTGAAAAGGAAGGAATACTTGGGAAGAAAAATCTAGGGAGGCTGTGGGTGCCTGCCACCTTCAGATCTATAGCAGGGGCACCCCAGGGAGAGGGCACCCACAAGTTCTTTATGGCCTGGAACCAAACCACAGGAAAGAGAAGGACTCTAACAGTTGGGGCTGCCGGAGATGGGCCGGGCTGTTTGGGAAAGCTAGTGAGCTCACCGTCACAGGAGGTATGCAAGCTGAGGCTTGAAGCTAAAGCCAAGGGGATTTTTCAGGTCCCTTAGAGCCTGAGAGTCTTTGGCCGTGGCCCCAGTAGGAATGTGAATGGTGTGTGGAAGAACGAGGTAAGATACTGATTTGGGGTTACAGGGAGGCTTCTGGGAGGAGGTAGCATATGAGGAAGAGGAGACGGTCACCTTTGTGGGATCAGCATCCCAAGCAGTGGGATGTGCCTGGGGGAAGCTTGGGGGACAGAGGGGGGATTATAGGGCCAGGAACCGTTTGTAGGTGTGGTGTGGTGTGGGTCTGATCCCAGGCTAGGGCAGTGGGATAAAGAGCAAAGCTGGGGATGAAGATTCCCAAGAAGGAAGGAAGAGGAGGACCTGGGAAGGAAGGGTCCCCTTGGCCCGTCCCCTCTAGGTTATGCTTGGAGCCGTGGCTGATTTGACCCTGGCTGAGAGGTCAGGCCCTCAGCCCTCCAACTGGCTTAGGGGCCAATCTCAGTGCCACTTCCAGGGTAGACCTGACCTGGGTGCCCCCATCAGACCCTGGCCCTGGTCTCCCTTTCCCCAGCCCTTCCCCCATAGACAGAGGGGCCAGAGGAGGGTGTGGGCATCTCTCCTGCCAGCCCTTCTGTTAGAGAAGCTTCCTCGTTCAGTCTTCAGCCTTTTGGGAGGTAGCAAGTCAGAGCTGGCCAGATGCCTGGAGAAGATACACCCCCACTACACAGATGGGCAAGCTGAGGTCAAGAGAGGCACCAGCCAGGTGCCCAGGGATCTCTGAGGACAAGACAGGGGTTTGGTGGGGCTGGCAGTGACTCTTGTCTCTGGCCACAGGAAAGGAGCTGGCAAACTCTCCTTCTACCCTTTGTCATCTACCTGTGTTCTCTGAGCGCCAGGGAAGAGAGGGCAGGATGCAGAAGGCAGTAACTCCTGCGGCCCCTTCCCAACCTGGCAGGCTGCCCAGAGGAGGAACTGCACTCCTCCTGGCTGTGCTCTGCCTCGGTTTCCCTAGGGAGGGCTCCTCTGACTCAACTCCTGGGCCTGTCACGGTCTAAAACATGAAAACAGCTCCTGGATTTGTGGGGGGCCTGGTGGGGGAGGGGTGCCACCTGGTGACAGCCACAGGCACTTGGTGGGGAGCAGGAACAAGAATTTATTTTAGCTGCTGGGGAGGTGGTGTGATATCTTGAAGAGAGGAGGCCCCTCTGAGCCGCCTCTATCAAAGCTCCCACCCACCCCCTCTCCCAATGAGTCCCCCCACTTTGCTGGTGTGATGGGAGCTGTGAGCCCCAGGGGCACAGCCCCTCACAGAACATGCTCAGGCCGGGCTCTGTGGCTCCCACGTGTACTCCCAGCACTTTGGGAGGCCACCGTGGGAAGATCACTTGAGCCCAAGAGTCCGAGACCAGTCTGGGCAACACAGTTGGACCCTGTCTCTACAAAAAAAATAAAAAAATTAGCTGTCTGTGGTGGCATGTACCTATAGTCCCAGCTGCTTGGGAGGCTGAGGGGAAAGGATATCGAGCCTGGGAGGTCGAGGCTGCAGTGAGTTGTGATTGTGCCACTGCTCTCCAGTCTGGGTGACAGAGCACGACCCTGTCTCAATCAGTCAATCAAATGAACAAACATGCCCTGCTTCCCCGCTCATCCTCAGCCCTCCCTCTGCGCAGCCAGGTGTCACTGTCCCCATGGCATAGAAGAGCAAACAGCCAGAGGGGTCAAGGCCCAGCCTGATGAGTCCCCTCACTCTCAGCCCCTCAGCCTCACCTGCCTCCATCCTAACAAGAGAGGACCAAGGTGGAGTCAGTGCTAGGCCAGGCAGTGGCCTCTCCCGTGAGGCAGTCAGAAATGAGGGGAACAAGACCAGGCAAGGTGGCTTACGCCTGTAATCCCAGCACTTTGGGAGGCCGAGGCAGGTGGATCACTTGAGGTCAGGAGTTCGAGACCAGCCTGGCCAACATGGTGAAACCCCATCTCTACTAAAAATACAAAAATTACCCGGGCGTGGTGGAGCGGGCCTATAGTCCCAGCTACTCTAAGGCAAGAAGCTAAGGCAGGAGAATTGCTTGAACCCAGCAGGCAGAGGTTGTAGTGAGCTGAGATCACAACACTGCACTCCAGCCTGGGCAACAGAGTGACTCTCTTAAAAAAAAAAAAAAAAAAAGAGGTAAGAACAAGCCCTGAGCCCCAGGCTGAGAGACGTCAGTCCCTGATCCAGAATGGCCACCCCGGATAGCCTTGCCTTGGCTGCAGAGAGAGAGACGCTGGCCTTGCCAGCCAGGTGGGCTGACCCCGGCTGACTCTTGGTGTGAGGTAGACAGTAATCACCATGCCCAGCATGCTGGGAAGTCAGAAGTATAACTACCCCCTCCCCATGATGGGGGTGGCTTTTGTACAGCGGCTCCTGGGTGGTGGGGTGGGGCCTGCACCTGTGGCTGAGGCCTAAGGCAGGACTCGAGACATCTGGCAACATGATTGGCCCCTCATGCCTGCTGGGCCCAGGTCTGGGGCAGAAGGAGGCAGAGTGAGGTCCAATGTCAAGATTGACAGGGAGGCCAGGTGTGGTGGCTCACACCTATAATCCCAGCGCTCTGGAAGGCTGAGGCAGGAGGATCACTTGAGGCCAGGAGTTCAAGACCAGCCTGGGCAACATAGTGAGACCCCCCTAACCACCGTCTCTACAAAAATGAAAATTAAATTTAAAAATGGTTTTACAAAAAGATGGCCAAGAGATTCTTAGGAGATCTTCTGAGCCATCCCACCTCTGGGCTGGGGTTTAGTGGCGCCCAGCCCTGGAACAGAGTGGACAGGCTTCCTTCCCGTTACAGGGCCCACTCTGGAAAGGGAGCTTGGGACCTCTGGGCTCCACCTGAATTTAAACCACTGGGGCCACTCATGGTTGTGCACACCTATAATTCCAGCTACTTGGGAGGCCAAGGTGGGAGGATCAATTAAGCCCAGGTGTTCAAGGCTGCAGTGAGCTGTGATTGCACCCCTGCACTCCATCCTGGGTGACACAGCAAGACCTCCGCTCTAAAAAGTGTGTGTGGGTGTGTGTGCGAACCACTGGCCAGGAGAGTAGAGATGCTCTTTCCAGGCAGCTGTCCCAAGGGTCTAGGGGACCCAGAGGGGCTGGCCCCAGGCTGGATTGCCTCCCCAGCTGCAGGGAGAGGGTGGTCGGATAGGCGAGGGAGGGAATCCCCGGCCCAGAGGTTGAGTCTTGGCCTTGACACCAGTGTGCCAGGGAAGGTTCCTCTCTTTCTGCCCACCCCGCAGTGGTCCTCCAGGTCTTCCTGTGGCTGAGAGTGGAGGGCACAGCCAGGCCTGTTCTTGTCCCTGCCCAGAGGCCTCCAGGGAGAGGGGGAGGGGTGGGGCTCCGGCGCTGCACCCTGGGCACCTGCGTGTGTACAGGTGGGTCCTATACACACATCCGCTCATGTGTACACAACCCCGCACAGGCCAAGGACAGCGATGATGATGACGATGTCGCTGTCACCGTGGACCGAGACCGCTTCATGGATGAGTTCTTTGAGCAGGTGGGAGCACACCCCACCCTCCCCGCACACTAGCAGACCTCGGGGGGCCTCTTACCCACCTGCACCCGGCTCAGCAGCTCTGGGGTGCCAATGAATGAACCGCTTTGAGGGTGAATAGATGGAAGCTCAGAGCAGAGCTAAATCTGGGATCGAACTCCTCCCCATCTGGGTCTGGAGGGACACACCCCCTTGGAGCCTGCCTGGCCTGTCCCTGAGCCCTGACCGCAGCCCTGCTCCGGGCCAGCCCTGGGCCCCAGAAGCCTCCTCCCCCGATTTCCTCCTCCTGATCACCCGGCCTTGGTCCGCAGGTGGAGGAGATTCGAGGCTTCATTGACAAGATCGCAGAGAACGTGGAGGAGGTGAAGCGGAAGCACAGCGCCATCCTGGCCTCCCCCAACCCTGATGAGAGTGAGTGTGGGGTCAGGGACAGGTTTCAGGCCCCACAGGTCTCCCAAAGGGGCTGCTGCCAGGAAGGCCTCATAGGACCTCAGCAGCCTTCATGGCTGGTGGGCTTAGGTGTGCCTGGGCTGGCCAGGGTCAGAAGGGTTTCATGAGAAGCTTTGGGAAATGCTGCTGTCCCCAGCCTGGAATTGGGGGATCAGTACCCAGCATCCCAGGACAGCCAGACCAGGTATCCACGAAGACTTGGGTGGTGGGAGAGGCGATCGGCTCCACCCTTCCCAGGTGAACTGGCTTTTTTCTAAGGCAACCAGGCTGGCTGCAGCCCTAGGCTTCTGGGAGTGAGGGAGGGAAGGCAGGAGCTGTCTGTGATCATTAGGCACCCTCTCAGCCCAGCCCAGCCCCTCCCCTCGACTCCCAGGGGAGCAGATGGCAGCTCTGAGGCGTCAGCGCTGTGGGAGGGCAAGCTGGCCAAGCAGGCAGAGCTTCCGGAAAGAGCTGGCAGCCCTGGCCCCTGGCCACGTGGCACCCTGGGGGTGGGCATTATCAGGGCTCCAGGAAGTCACCCCTCTCCATCCGGGCTGGGAGCCTGTGTGGGTCAGGCTTGCACTCTGCCCCCAGACAGGCCCCCCTGACCTGGCCCTCTCGTTCCTGTTGTGATATTGGTCACTCTCCTGAGAGGTGCCAGGCTGATGGCATAGGTGCAGGCCCGCCTGGGTCCCCTCCTCTGGAGGGGGGCTCACCCAGAGTCCCAGGGATGCAGCAGTCAGGTGTTTGAGGGAGGAAGTCTCCCAGGCTCAAATGTTCTCACCTCCAGCACGGCTTACCCCCAAGCCCACTTGGGCATCTTCAAGAACTTGGAGTAGGTCTTTCCACAGTGCCTGAACCGAGGTCGAGGTCACACCAATCAAGCCAGTTCCCCGCCCTCGGAAGGCAAAATAGGTCAGGTGGGAGCAGGGTGGATTGCCTCAGTAAGGCCAGGAGGGAGAGAGGGATGCCCAGGGCTCACCACGCTGCGCTCCTTGCCCGAGAGATTTGTTGGATGGCAGCATGAGCCGGATGCCTGTGCGTCTGGAGGTATCTGGGTCACCGTGTGCATGTTTCCCTGTGTGGGGCTGCTCCTGCTCAGGGTCAGGAGGTGGCTGATTGTGGGGTGGGGACAGAGGGCTCTAAACAGCAGGGGAGTGGGCCTGTCATTGCAGGTAGGTGGGGTGGGCGTGGGGCAACAGAGCTGTCTGCTCCATACCTCGGGTCCCCGCAGGCCACCTCCTGCACCGTCTCCCACCTCGGTGTCAAGCACAGTCACAGGGACTGGTTCTGAGTCACCACCTGTGAGCAGACGGTTGAGACCTGGTAGTCCCAGGCTCTCGCCAAGGGGAGGGGGCTCATGTTGGGGGTTCTAGGGCACAGGTGGCACAGACTTAGGGAGGAGTCTCAAGGAAAGATGGCAGTGAGTGGGGGGCTCTCCTGGGCAAGGCAGGCTCTGCCTCCTCGGGGCTGCCATCCGGCCTGCGCTATTTTGGGTCTGAGCAAAAGAGGCTGAGACGTCAGAGCAGCTGGTAACCGAGTTTTCCTTTGTTCCTACGGATGAGGCGCCCTCCTCCGCGCCTCGGAACCCCCTCTTCTGTGCTCCACCCCATCGCATTCCACTTGAGAGGTGACCCCATCTGAGGCCTTCCTCATAGACCTCTCTCAGCACCCCTCCCCATCCCTCTAGAACAAACCCCAGCCCCAGAGGCAGGCAGAGGGGCGGGTGGGAAGGTGACAGCCGGAGCTCAATCCCGGCTTCTCCCAGGGTGGAGTCCTGGGGGTGTCCTGAGACTGGGCTGTTGCCAGGAGCACCCCCAGGGGAGGCAGCTGTCTTGCCCCACTTTTCCAGCTAGCTCCTCTCAGGGAGGGGGCGAGCTGGGCGCCCCACGGCCTCTGCCAGCCTTAGGGAGATGGCTGTAGCTGGAACCAGGACCACACGACACTATCCACCCTCCTCCAGCTTCACCAGGGCCCCGGCTACCTGCCACGGCCAGGGCCGACTGTGCCCACCTCTTTGAACCTGAGGGCCCACATCAGCCCCCACGCAGGCCGTCCGCCCCTTGTCCGCTTCCACCTGCTGGGCACTTAGCACCCAGGGAGGCGCAGCTTTGTGGAAATAGCTGTCTGCCCCACCCAGAGTGTTTGAGCCTGCAACTCAGGAAGTGCGAGGTGGGGGAGGCTTCCTGCCACCCCTGGTCCCCTGTCAGTCCCTGGCTGGGCTGTGTGCCCTCCTGAGCCATTAGGTAACACCAGGTGAGCCCGAACCCCCCACCTTCAACTCCAACAAGCATCAAGTCCCTGTTTCTTGCGCTGACTCCAGCGTCGCCAGCTGCTCCACAATTATTTCTGCCTTAAATTTAGACCCATCTGTTATCTCCAGGGGGTGGGGGCGCCGGCGAAGGAGGAAGGGAGGCTCCTCCGAAGACAGCACAAGAGGGGGTGAGGCTGCAGCTGGTGTGGCCCTGGTCCAGAATTGGGGGGGACAGGCAGAGCCCTAGCCAGGGGAACAGGGGAGAACTGGGATCTACCGAGAGCCCCCCGTTGGGTCCCCTGTGCCAGAGGCCGAGCCTGAACATCAGTTCTTGGGGGAGCCTAGGGGGTCTACTCCCACCCTTTCTACCTCCCCAGAGACGAAGGAGGAGCTGGAAGAACTCATGTCGGACATAAAGAAGACAGCGAACAAAGTCCGATCCAAATTAAAGAGTGAGTCAGGCTTGTCTGGGGTGGGTGGGGGGTATTCTAGGCCTGCTTCCTCTGGGTAGCCCATGGGGTTTTGCTTGCCTTGAGGGGGTGTGCCGGATCTTGCTTTCCTTTCTGAGGGTGGTGTCATGTGCCCATTCACTCAACAGCTACTTGGCAAGGCCCATTGGTGCCAGGCTCTGGGCTGGGCCCAGGGACACACCCGCCCAAGGCTTTGTGGAGGGGGTACTCCACTCTGGGCGGGCACTGCCCCTCACTTATGCTAAAGAGGGTTAAAGAAGTGGCCAGCACTTCCTGGTCTCATGCAGAAGCCCGGTATGCTGGGTGAACCCAGACACGCACACCCCACGCCCTGCAGGAGGACCCCCCCTTGGCTCTCCCCACTGTGGACATGGCCCCTCCTACACAGCCAGCCTCTGAGCAGAAAGGGGGTGGTACCAAGGCACAGGGTGTCCGGAGCTAGCAGACATCATGCACATGCAGAGCCTGGGGTAGGTGTGCATTTACACAGGTGCACACACCACACCGCGTCACAGCTGGAAGTGCCTTTGTAGGCCTCTCCTCCCTCAGTGCCTGGCACTGACCCCACCAGCCACAGGCCACACACACACCCCAGGAAAGGTTAGGAGGTGGATAGATGCTGGGTGTTCGGGTCGGGGCCGAGGGTGAAGGGGGCTGGTTGTGACTCAGCAGCCCCCTACGCCCGCAGGCATCGAGCAGTCCATCGAGCAGGAGGAAGGCCTGAACCGCTCCTCCGCTGACCTGAGGATCCGGAAGACACAGGTGCGGCCCGGCAGTCTAGGGTGGGCGGGCACCTGAGTTTCTGGGTCAGTCCCTGCAGGGCCTGACACCTGTACCTCCATCTCGGGCCCCCAGCACTCCACACTATCCAGAAAGTTTGTGGAGGTCATGTCGGAGTACAACGCCACGCAGTCCGACTACCGCGAGCGCTGCAAGGGCCGCATCCAGAGGCAACTGGAGATCAGTGAGCTGGGGGCGGGGCCCAAGGCAGGGCTGAGTTAGGGACCGAAGGGGCGGGGCCGAGGCTGCTGCTGAGTTAGGGACTAGAGGGGTGGGGTCCTAGGCAGCTACTGAGTTAGGGACCGAAGGGGCGGGGCCGAGGCTGCTGCTGAATTAGGGGCTGAAGGGGCGGGGCCGAGGCTGCTGCTGAGTTAGGGGCCGAAGGGGCGGGGCCCAGTGGTGCTACTGAGCTCCCCGGAGAGGGCTGGGTTCAGTGTGACCCCGCTCGCTTGCAGCTGGCCGGACCACGACCAGTGAGGAGCTGGAAGACATGCTGGAGAGTGGGAACCCTGCCATCTTTGCCTCTGGTGTGAGTGTGGGCCCCACCCCTCCTGCCATGACCCCCACACCATGTTCCCCACGACGATGTCCCCTAGTGTTGGGTCTGGACAGTATTTGGACACAAACCCTTTGTAAGGCAGGTTTTAGGGAAGGAAGAGTCCCAGAGAGGGGAAAACACCAGGCTGAGGTCACATAAATGTCGGTGGCAAAGGTGGACTCAAACCCCTGTCTCCTAATGCCTCCCAATTGCATCCACTTCCTTTCGCCGGCAGCCAGGGGCTCCTCCTCTTATCCTTGGGCCCTTTCCCCTCCTGGAGGACATTTGGCCATCACTGCGTTCACGTGAAGCCGAGCAGGGGTTCTCCCTGAAGGAGGTGGCACACAGGTGTTCGAGGCAGGTTTGGGGCTGTGAGTTCCAGGAGAGAGGGGAGAGGCAGCACATTCAGTGTTGGGGAAGGGATGAGAGAAAAATGGTTCCAGGCCCAGGTCCATGGGGCAGTCAACTTGGGCTCTGCAAAATGCTTGTGATAAGGACTGTCACTGAGCACTCGCTCTCTGGCCAGCACAGGTGGAGAGTGTCACTAGCCCCAGGTTACCGGTAGGAGATTTAGTTGCAGAGAAATTAGGTAACAGCTAGCAGGTGGCAGAGCCAGATAGCAAGGCGGGGAGGGCGGTGGCTCAGGAAGAAGCCTCGGGCCCCCTTCAGGAGCAGCTCTGCCCATGCCAGCCGCCCTCGCCCTTGGCCCTCTGCCCTGCCCCTCAGCAGGCCTCTGGGTCCCAGCCCCCTGCTCCCACCCCCAGATCATCATGGACTCCAGCATCTCGAAGCAGGCTCTGAGCGAGATTGAGACACGGCACAGCGAGATCATTAAGCTGGAGAACAGCATCCGTGAGCTGCATGACATGTTCATGGACATGGCCATGCTGGTGGAGAGCCAGGTGAGCGCTGGGGCCCCCTGTCCTCCACTCCAGCCCACAGCGGCACCTGGGGCTGCCGTAACCTCGCCCTTTCTGCCCAACACGCTGCCCTGCCGGGGAGGGACCAAATTCTCAGGTAACCATTTGCCTGCTGTTGCAACTGCCGCCAGGGCCCTGCCCCCAGGAAGGCCCCTGTCCTCTGCATGGCTCTGCTTGGCCTTCAAGGACCCCAGGCCCTGCATGGCCCCACCCCCCACCCCCCGCTGTCTCCTTCCCCTACTGTTTCCTCATGGGGCCACTGTGGTGGGCCAGGCATTTCCCTAGGGACTGAAGGCATAGCAGTGACCAGGACAGCCGAGGGACCTGCTTCCTGGAGTGAATGCCTATTGGGCAAAAGGATGCCTAATAACAAATGGAAGGTTCTCCACTGGGGCTCACACTTGAATGAGCCACCTGGAGGGCTTATGGTAGGTTTCCAGGTCTCTGTCGCGGAGGCTGGCAGGTGAGGTGGAGGCCCCGGAAGGTGCCTCTCTGACAGGCTCAAGGGTGACGCCGCTGCCGCTGCACTTGGAGTAACACCACGACCATGCTGGGGTGGCCGCCTGGTTGCGGTGCGTGATCAAGGAAGGCCTCTCAGGAGGAGGTATTTGAGCTGATGGTGAAAAGAGTGAAAAGGAGCCAGCTGTGAAGACTTCCCAGGGGAAGATGAAGAGCTGGCCCCAGCAACACTAATGTCCCGAGCCCAGCAAGACTCGGACTTATTTCAGGAACAGAAAAAGGAGGTCCCTGCCTCGAGGGCACAAGAGGGGGGTCGGAGCTGAGATGAAGCCGGAGACAAGGTGGACGGAGCCTTGGCAGGCAGTGCTGGGGAATTTGCAGTCTCTTCTAGACTGGAGAGGGTTTGAGAGGTTTTTTATTTTAGCAAAAGATAGGATCTTGCTGTGTTGCCCAGGCTAGTCTCAAAACTCCTGGGCTCAAAGTGATCCTCCCACCTCAGCCTCCCAAAGTGCTGGTGTCATAGATGTGAGCCACAGCACCTGGCCAGGTTGGAATGTTTTAAGTATGGGAGTGACGTGACCTTGGTTAGGACGTAGGGAGGCCGTGAGGAGGCTGCTGCTGCCGCCATCTGGTGAGAAACAGACCATGGTGACTGGATGCCAGTGAAGGTAACGGATGGACTTGGAGACAGGCCCTAGGAGTCTTGTGGGGCACAGTCACGGTCAGATTGGCCTCTAGGGGCAGCATGGGACCAGATCACAGGGCTCAAGAGGGCTGTTGGGCTGGGAAGAGGGTTCCCTAAAGATTGAAGACCCCAGAGAGCAGACAGAACTAGATGGAGCCGTCATGCCTGACGATCGATGGTGGCGTGGGGAGGCTAACCTGTGGTCACCTCAGGAGCTATGGCCAGGGCAGCCCAGACTCCAGCACACCCACTCCTGCCCCCACCTTCCTCTGCCTGGCACTGCCACCTAACACCTGTCACAGGGTCAGCCCCCCACTGAGTTTTCTCTGCATGGTCCCCAACCCTCGGCTGAGACTGCATGGCCAGCTCCACCCCCAGGATTGCTGCTCTGCGGGGAGATGTGGGAGCTGCCTTGGGGAGCCTGCCTGGCCCACGTGAGCAGCTGTACCCTGTCCACCTCATGCCCCTTTTCCTCTCTAGCCTCAGGATGCTTTCCTGAAGTCCTGCCCTGAGCCCCAACCCAACTCTGAGGAGGGGGCCCTCTGGAGCTTGGGTGCCCCTGGCCCCGCAGGGGGAAATGATTGACAGGATCGAGTATAATGTGGAGCATGCGGTGGACTACGTGGAGAGGGCTGTGTCTGATACCAAGAAGGCCGTCAAATACCAGAGCAAGGCACGCCGGGTCAGTAGCACAGCCCTGCCCAAGGCACGCCCCAGCACCCATTAGGGACCCCCAACCATCCCACTTCTCTCCCCATCCCACCTCTCCTCCCATGACAACCCCCTCCCCGGCCATCACCTTCCCCCACTTGGACCCCCCCAACTCCCCAGCCCTCAGCCTTCGCCATAGTACCTCCCCACCTGCCGCCACCTCTGTCTGAGGCCTCTTATGCCCGCCCCCCCACGCAGAAGAAAATCATGATCATCATCTGCTGTGTGATCCTGGGCATCGTCATCGCCTCCACGGTCGGGGGCATCTTCGCCTAGAAGCCACCCAAACTGCCACTCCACTCCGGGTGGGCCACTCCGAGGAGGCCCTGGCTGCTGCCGCCTGGCTGGGCTGCCCTCCCCACCCCCGCCTCTGGCTCAGAGCACCCACCCTCCCAGCCCCCATGCTCCCTTCTCTGCCATGGGTCCTCCATCCCTGCCCCGTGTCGTGTGCATGATCTCTGTGAGTGTGCGTCTGTATGGAAGAGGCAGAGGGAGGCAGCCAGGGGGCGTGGCGCAGTGTGCACAGTGAGGGGCAGACCCAGGCAGGGCCGCCAGGGCGACACAGGCCACCCTTCCTTGCCTTTAGTGACTCGGTGGCTCCAAGGGTCCACTCTTCCCTGGGGACCTAACCTTGCCTCCAACTCGCCTGCTCTGCCCTCTGGCCTCTCCAGCTGTCCCCACGAGCAGAGCCCCGAGGGGTGGGGACCAGCTGGCCACATGGTGCTGCTTTTCAGGTTAGGGGAGAGGTGGCCCTGAGGGATAGGCCAGCTCTGAGCCTCAATTGTTGATCACTGCCAGGGAGGCTCAGGCTGCCATGGCTCCAGGCTCCCTCCCCTGCCGAGGGGCAAAGTCCATTGGGTCCGGGGTCTCCGCCTCCCTTCCCATTTCCTCCAGCCCCAGGAGCTACCCCTTGGGCTGGGCCTGACCCAAGGTGTCCCTCTGGAAGCCACCCCAGCAGCTAGGGAGGCAGAGCAGGCTGCAGTCAGGTCCTCGAGCCAGCGTTGCATGTTTGGGATGGTGGCCCCTGCTGTCTTGCGCTCTGGGAAGTCAGATGTCACTTCAGGCCTGCAGTCTCATCCTGCCCTTGCCATCCCCCATCAATGTACCACGTGGGTGTCAGGTGTCCCGGATGCAGTATTCGGCAGCCAGCTGGAGAGGGCTACCTCCTCATCACCACCTTGGGGCTTCTCATGGGAAATGCGCCCCCGCCCCAGGACCCCCTCCCTCGTGGACAGGCAGGGAGATGCATGCGAGTGCATGCAGCAGGGGATGGGGCTGTGTCCGTGTGCCCCGCCCTCCCTCAGCTTTACTCCTGCCCAGTGACTGTGACCACCGTCCGTGTTGCCTTCAACAGCAATCCCCCTGAACCCCTTCACCAAAGGTCTTGGTACAACCAGCTGCCCATTTTGTGAGATTTTTATGTAGAATAAACATTTGTATCTGTACCAGGCCTCTGTTCTAGGTTTTTTTCCCCAGGTCTTCTGGGGGGAACCCTAGGAGGGTTCTTGCCATTGCCCAAGCTGGCCTCCCACCGAGCTGGGACCACAGGTTGCGCTTGGCCTGACTGCTCTGGACTTCTTGCCATCTGCAGTGTCAGTCTTAGAACTTGAGGATGCATGGATGTGGCTCTAAGCGAAAGGCCTCAGAGGCAAAGGGTCCCAACTCAGCCTCAGCCCCACCCAGGGCCTTCAACTTCCTCAGACCTGTCTCTGGCCATGCAGTGGAGACCATCCAGGCCTTAGTCCCTGAGAACAGGCCCAGAGGCCATGCTCAAGGCCTGGAATCTGACACCTACAAGAGACCCCAATTCGGGGCATAAATCCTCATGCCCCAAGCCCCACCCTTCTCCCAGACACCCAGCCCCTCTGGCTCCTGCACCCACTCCCAATGTCTTAAGCCACCGCAGCCCTGATCCAGTTCTGTACCGCAACGCCCAGGATCTTCCCCCTCTTCCCACATGGCCCAAAAGGCTCAAGCAACCAGTGGACCTCTTCTATCACAGCCTGCCGGATGGTCCCACACAACCCCAGAGCAGGACCAGCCCTTTCCAACCACTAGCAATGGGACAAGAGATCAGCCCAAGACATCAAGCACTAGACTAGTTGGCAGCTGACTGTGCAGCTCACTGCAACAGGTGAGGCTGGGGCTGCTGGACTGGCATGGCCTTCACAGCAAGGGAAACCAGACTGGCCAGCAGGCACCACTAACATTTCACCCAGGCCCTCTTCCCCACTTAGCTTAGTGTGAGATGTTATAGTCATGGAAGCCCCGAATTAAAGGACTCTGTTCCTTGCAAATTCAAAGAATGTTTTCATGTATGGAAGTTTTTTAAACCTAGTAACTGCCTGGTGAGTCGTGCACTAGCCCAACAGAGGAACCCAAGTTTGTTAAGAAGCAGAGCTGGGAGATGCCAGAGTTTCACAAAAGGAATTTTTACTTCTTGTTTTTAAACAAAGAGCTTTTTTTTTTTTTGCCCCTAGAAACGAGGTCTCACTATGTTGCCCAGGCAGGTCTAAAACTCCTGGCCTCAAATGATCCTCCCGCCTCAGCCTCCCAAGGAGCTGGGATTACAGGCACGAGCCACCATGCCCAGCCCAGAGAACTTTTTTTACTGCAGGAAACATTTTCAGAACTTTAGAACTTTTCTCAACTACTACTGGCAACGGAACACGTCAGTATAGAAACCCACGGAGGCGAGCGCCTGCCCAGAACCGCATGCTGACTCAGAAGCGGGGCTTGCGCTTGCGGCCAGTGTACCGGGTGTCGGGTCTGACTTCCCTGTGCAGAAAAGGAACAGGACAATCTCAGAAAAAAAGATCCAAGCAGCCCTGGACTCTTCAAATGCAAGGGAACTCAAGTGGCAACAGGCTTCCACCCCCACCCCTACCCCACCATCCCCCCCTGCCAGTTCCCAGTCTGGCACTCACCTGCCCTGGCGCCTGTGCCGCTCCTTCTTCTCCAGTACCCATGCCCGGCTCTTCCTCACCATTGCCCGCCTCAACAACCTGAATGGGACCCTATGGTGGAGACGCAGCTATGAGCTAATTGATGACACTGCCCGGGCTGGCCCCCACATGTATCCATGGCAAGCTTCCCTCTGAGTCTGGTGGCCTCGGATGCCTTCCCTCAAAGGCTCCACCTTCCTAACTACAAGTCCCCACTCGACATCCACCAGGGCCACGGCAGTTAATGGGAAGATAGGGCAGGCCGGGCCAGGCATGGAGATGTAAAGGCGAGCGAGCAGCCTGTTCCCTCCTTGGGAAGTAGCTAAGCAGCAGGAAGCAGCCGCTTTCTACCCGTGCAGTGATGCAGCAACACCTGGACTTCCAGTGCACAGGCCACAGTTCACGGCAGGAGCTCGGGGAACACAGCTTGGGGGCAGAAAACCGGGACAGAAAGGAGGGTCTGAAAAGGCAGGACTGAAGGATGTGAGGGAAGAAGGAAAGAGGACTGGAGTAACCCTGAAGACCCCTGCGACCGTCAGGAGAAACCAGAGACAGGGCGAGCCAAGGAGCCGCCATTTGGACGCCTGAACCTGATGGGCCAGCACAAAGCAGGAGCAGCGGCACAGCAGGGCTGGAGAGACAGGACAACTCACCTCAAGATTCTAGAAGGAGTATAAAGTGGGAGCAGAATGGCAAACGGGGCAAGAGGTGAGCCATGGGAGAAGCAGCAAGAGAGAAAGTTATCAAGGGAGATAAAGGGAGGAGGTGAAGACACAGCGCCCCGAAGCACAGGTTCGCAAGGGAGAAGTGGGGGCCCATTCCTCCAGGGGCACATGAGAGGCATGGGAGGGTGGAGGCCAGGAGGAAGGGAGGAACAGGCCAAAAAAATACAGCCTGGAGACTGATCAAGTAAAGGCTTACATGACTTATTCTTCACTCACCTATGTACTTTATAACAAGTGTCCTGAATGTGGTCAGACTGAGGTGACAGTAAGAGGAGCCCCTCCCCTGCCCTCTACCTCATCTGAGGAACTCAAAGTATGAGCCCACAGAACAAGGATGGCAAGGTACATGTTAGGCACGGTGAGTCCTGGCCAGCAGGCTCTGCACCCTCAACACACTGCTAAGATGGGTGGCACTATCCCTGCTTTTCAGAAGCTGAGGAATGGAGGTTCAGGTCATTCAACTTACCCACGTTTACTTTTAGGACATGTCATCTAAAGACACCAGTGTCAGGACAAGAGCGATCCTAAGGTGCATGGAGGAGCTGAGGCAATGTGTACTTCCCCTGTGAGGGAGGAGATGGGGTGTTCCCTGGGAGCACGAGATGGGCGCCTGAGAGAAGGGGCATTCCCCCAGCTCCCCATGGGGAATGGGCTAGGGAAGCTAAGAGAAATGACCAAAGGTCCAAGGGGTCAGGCAGCATAAGCCTATGGTGGACGCGAGGAACACGTGACTTTCCCAGTTGTGGGCCTTCGAAACGCATGCATCTGGGGCCCATTTTTCCTCTTAAGTATCTTAAAAGTCTGAAGACCTTTCCCTCATGTCAACTGGAACTCAGAAATAACCTCCCTCTTCACTGCCTTATAATCAGTTATTCATTCAGAAAAACACTGAGATCGTCTTACTAACAAGACACTGTTCTGAATGTCAGGGAGGTAATACCAGTCCCCACCAAGTTTTCATTCTAGCTGGATACACAAATAATAACCAAGTAAACTGGTATGTGTGACTCAGAGCAGTGAAGGGTGTTAAGGAAAATAAACCCAAGTGGGGAATGGAACTGAACTGAGGACACTGAAAGAGCGATGACGAGATACAATTTACATCTTAGAAAAAAGAAAAAGGCCAGTCTTGCTGCTATGCAGAAAATAATCTGGAATAGGCAAAGACGGCAAAGGCAGGGAGACGAGGTGGACAGCTGTTCAGCAATCCAGGCTAGGGGCAGTGCTGGCGGAGGCCGGAAGCAGGGAGGGTCAGCATGGGATACACACTGAGGGAAGGACAACAGGGCTCGATGACAGGCTGACAGGATGCGAGATGTAGGGAAAGACAGGAACCATCAAGAATGGTAAAGAATGGAGGATAGCCAGGCACGGTAGTTCACACCAGTCATCCCAGAACTTTGGGAGGCTGAGATAGGGGTATCACTTGAAGCTGGGAGTTCAAGACCAGCCTGAACAACATAGCAAGACCCCGTCTCTACCAAAAACTTAAAAAATTAACCAGGCATAGTGGTATGCACCTGTAGTCTCAGCTACCTGGGAGGCTGAAGCAGGAGATTGTTTGAGCCCAGGGGTTCGAGGCTGCAGTGAGCTAAGATTGCACCACTGCACTCTAGCCTGGGTGACAGAGTGAGAACCTGCCTCAAGAAAGAAAAAAAAAAGAGAGAACATTTAGGGGATGAAAACCAAGAGCTGTTCTCACTTAAATTATTGCTGCCAGGTGTGTACAAAGGAAAAAAAAAGGTAGAAAACCAAGAGCTGCTTTTGTTTGAGATGCCTGTGGAAAGGCAGGTATGGACACTGAGGAGGCACTGGGAAACCCCAGGTGGCTGAGACTGGAGACACACACACGTTTGGGAGTTAGAAACTTCCGGTTGGCATTTACAGCACCGCAAATAGAGAAGGAATCCAATCCAGGCTGCGCCCAGGACTCGAGAAGGCAGCAGCAGACTGAGGACCAGCCATCTATGGTGAGGAAACGAGGCCAGAAGGAAGCGTCAAGGAGGGTTTCAGACCCTATCACGCAGGCATGTTAAGGTAAGGACATTAAAAAAAACAGACACAAGTGACCAGACTTGGCTTGATGGAAACTGGTGGTGGCCTTAACAAGAACAATTTGTGATGAGACAGAACTATCTGCCTGAGAAGTGGGCTGAAAGAATGGCAGGAGGGAAAGAAAAAGGCAAGTCCGAGTTCTGCTATGAAGGGAAGCAGAGGAGCTGTTACGGGGTTAATTAAGGGAAGAACTTTTCTAGAACAGGAGAAATTGTGCAGCATGTCTGTGTGCTGACAGGAATGACCGTAAGAGTAAAGCTGAGGATGCAGGAGGGAAGGGAGAGCCATGGCGGCCAAGGGAGGGGTCCCGGATGCAGATGAAAGGCAGCATAAAGAAGGAGGGAGACAGCCTGCCAGGCCTGGCAAGCTCACAAAGACAGTCCGGGCTGCACGGCTGCCCAGAGACATCCAGGACCCCAAACCCCTAGCCCCAAACCGGCACAGTCCAAATGGGGCCTGCCATTTCTACCGCCACCCTGGTGTCCCTGCTGCATGTAACCTGAGAGGCTTGGGCAAGAGCAGAGAAAATCGACATCTAACAAACACAGCAGCACCCCCTGCAGTTGAGGCAGGGTTCAACAGTTGCTTCATTACCTCTCATTGGTGAACACGGACTCCATGCGCTCATCTTCACCCTGCTTTTCACTCCGCCCCTGCAGGAACCAAAGTGCATTCAGGTCACCCTGAGAGTTCTCCAACCCATCTGCCCCACTCCAGAAG